TTTTCAGGATGCTTGTCATATAACCCTACCCAAAAAATAAACCCCAGTGAAGGGAAACCCCAACCTCCATCCCTGTACATCAACCAGAAGAAGAGGACATGACTGTATTTGAATAAACATAGATGGTTGTACATGAAAAAAAAAACCATCCCCTGAAAATGAGTCCTAATGTGTTTTTGGAGCAAAATTTAAAATAAGATCCTGTCTTATTTTTGGGGAAACACGGTGTATTAAATCAGAGGTCCCCAACCTGTGGTCCGTGGCCTGGTGCTGGTCCGTGGCTTGAGCCAGACCAGACCGCGGAGACAGACCTGCCCCGCCCCCTGCACGCACTCACCCCCGCACAGCTGATGCGCATGTGCGTGTGTGAGCGCTGCGCATACCCAGACAAGTGCCGTGCTGCTATTTGCACATGCGCATGGGTGCGCCCGTGCCCACACAAGCGCCATGGCACCATTTGTGCATGCGCAGGAGTGCGCGCACCCACTCACAAGCTCTGTGCTGCTGTTTGCACATGCACACGAGCGAGCACTTTTTTGTGCGAGAGTGTGCACTTGTTCACACATGCACATGAGCACAGGGGGTGCCCCGCCTTTCCCAGCTGGTCCGCGGGGTGAAAAAGGTTGGGGACCCCTATATTAAATAATAACCACAATAACATGGCAACAGTATAAAAATGAAATACGCATATCAGTCCATTAATGTAAAAAGAGAACAGCGTGAAAACGAGTAATGCAAAATTAAAGCATAAAAATTAACACATTTTTGGGCTGCTTTCTCCCTAGAATCCCTTCTGAACGGACTTGATGGCTCGTGATTATAAACGAACTGCTTTGCCCAAACAAGACAGCTACCCCCCCCCCGAAAGGAAGCCCCACTGGCCTGAGTCTGCTGAGCCAGGGCCAGGGAAGGACAGGACCTGTCGGGAGGTTGCGCATTCACGAGGGTCGCCGCAAGTGCAAGGCGACTTGACAGCTCACGGCAGTGGCAACATAAAGCGGACAAACTGCTCACTCCGCTTTCAGGCGCTTTCTGCAGGCAGAATCTCTCCCGCTGTTACCTGCCAACCAAGAGCTTTGAAGGGTGTCAGGTCCCTGAACAGGGAGGCTTCCTTGCTGCCCGGTGGAGCGGCCCTCCCCTCGCTCTGGCTTGTGGGGGGGAGAGTGGGCCTGTTGTTTGGGCTCCCTGTGTTAGGGACAAGGCAGGACGTAGTAGACTTTAAAAAAATCTGTGAAAGATTGCTCCAATGAGCAGAGGAATGGCTTGGTTGAGTCGGGAGGACAAATTCAATCCTTAAGACAAGGCACCCTGTGCTGGAGATCATTTGATAATTTGGTCAGGAGTGTTAGAACTGGGGAAACCATCGTTATGGCCCAGGGATTAAGGAAAGCCTAGCGGGAACGGGGAAGGTCTGCGAGAGCACCCTGGCGGGAGGGTCCCTGCCTCGCTCGTGAATAAAAACTCTCGCCACCAGGGTCTTCTTCTCTGGGATGTTTCATGGCACTCGGTAGGGAGGAGGACTCGCGACTCGCTGTAGAGTCCAACGTAAGTCGCAAGGGCAACTTGACTCCGACTCAGTTCAGGAGTTTCCGAGAGAGACCCGCAACTCGGCTCAGACCCCTTTGATGGGGTCGTCGGGTGGAGTCCCTGTGGGCCCCCCTTCTTGCCAATGCTGTTGCCAGAGAGGCTGACTGGCACAGGGCTAATAGTGCACGTCTTTAGTACCGAGTCCAAGCCTCGGTTGGGAGGAGGAAGGGGGGGCAAACGACTCCAACTCGAAGCTTGGCACTCGGGCCGAAAGACCTGCCAACCTCCTTGACCCGCATCTCTGGCTTTGGAAGTGGATGGCAGAAGGAGCTGCCTTTTTCCCCCCC